GGTGCAGGGCGGATGTGAAACTGAGGCTCTGGGGGTTCGGCAGAGGGGTCCCCTACACCTGATTGACTGGAGCCCTGGCCCTTCCTCTTCCCACTGCTTCTACTACAGCTCTGGGGCCTCTCAAATGTCCCCCACCAGCTGTCCCTCCCGCCAGTCCCCATGCCTGGATCTGAAAGCTCAGTGGAAACACTGGGGTGCCGGGTAGTTCATGGAGCCGCTCTTGCCCGGGTAAGGAGTGAGTGTTTCCCTTGGCCGGGTGGAGATGAGGACGAATCCGCAGTGTTGGCTGCCGGACGCGCGCTTCCAGCAGGGCTTCCTGCACCCGGAGCCCCTGGCTGCTCGGGCTGGGTAGGACCCTCAGAGCACACCCTTACCTTGCTGGTCCATGTAGAGAGGGGTCCCACCCAGGGATACCACCGAATCCACCAGGAGCAGGCACTTGTACCTAGAGAGGTGGGGGATGGAACGGAGGGCCGCAGGTGAGGCAGGGGGCTGCTGGAGGGCTTGGGCCCCAGCCTGGATGGGGTTTCTGAGCCTCAGGCTGGCAAGGAAGTGGGGTGCCTCCCACCTGTGCCCTAGGAGTTGGCCGGTTGCCTTCTCCTGCCTGTCAGGATCCGTCAGGACCTGTGGCTCTTTCTTTTCCAGCCCTGATCATTGGAGCAGAAGGAGCTGGGGGAGTGAGGGAGCATCATGGCCCTGGTGGGACCCAGCTGCAGGGCCCTGCAGCGGTGCCGAAGAGGGTCAGCCGGGCAGTCTGTGGTTCCCCAGGGACAGCAGGCGCATGAGGGCCTGTGTGGACCCCAGGGACCACGGTGGCACCAAGCTGGGCCTCCCTCTGCCAACAGCTGCTCGGCCCAGCCACTGGCCAGAGTCCAGGGCCGGAGGGGACAGAGTCCCGGAACAGCACAAACAGCAGCACCGCGAACTCTCACCCTCCGAACTCTCGCCCTCCGAACTCTCGCCCTCCGAACTCTCGCCCTCCGAACTCTCACCCTCCTCCGCCTCCATATTTTCTTGTAAAGAAAAAAAAGATACAGAAAGTATCTTGTGCTGGCTGCAGGTGGGGACGGCCTGGGTGTTGCTGAAGCCGGCCAGGTTATGTTTGTGAGCTTTATTCATGGCCACGGTCCATGTAGCAAGCTGTCCGGGCTGGGGGCCCTGCTGAAGGGTCCTCCCTGGCCGTGGAGTTTCTCTCCTCTGTCCTGTGCTCAGACCTGCCGACGGGACTGCTAGGTCCCAAGGGGCTCTGTCCCCATTTCTCAGGAATCCCGTCTGACTCCATTCAAGGCCCTGCCCTGTGCACCCCCATGTGGGGGTAAGGGAGGCTGGAGGAGGGAAGTGGAGGGCATCAGGGAGCTTTAGTGCCCTTGCAATCTCGGGGCGAGGTGGGGACAGGCCCTGGCAAGATATGGAGGTCTGTGCCAAGCCCTCTTCAGTCATGGGGACGGAGGTCAGTGGGCACCGTGGGGGTGCTTGGCCAGGGAGCACCTGAGCCTGCCCCGGGGCCTGGGGTTGTCTTTAGACTCAGCCCAGAGCAAAGAGGACCTGGGAGGTGCTTGCACCCCACACCATGTGACAGAGGCCAAGGTGGGGACCAGGGGCAGAAGCGCCAGAGGGACCAGTACCCACCCCTCCCCACAGCCTGGCTCTGAGCTGTGCTCCGGCCCACCGCCCTGGGGCCAGGTTCACCTGTGGCAGAGTTCCCCGAAACCGTCAAGGGGCTGCAGCACGCCAGTGGACGACTCCCCGTGGGTCAAGAACAGCAGCACCGGCTTGTGCTGGGCCAGGCCCTGGGGAGGCAGGGATGGCTGCAGGTGAAGCTCAGAGGGGCAGGGGCCAGGAACCCCCCAACAAACTCCCCATGGGTGGCCCAGCTCCAGGCAGCAGGGGCTGGGTGTGCCGCAACCCCTCCCTGACGGTGTGCATGCGAGGAGGAGGCTGGGGCATCTCCGATTTGGGAGGAAGGCTTTTCCAAGAACAGGACGCAGAGGTGGAGGACGGGTGGCCCCAGCCTGCTGCCTGGCCTGTGAGGGCTGTTGCTAGATGGACGGAGTCCCCACTCTCCAGGTAGGTTGAGGCTGACTTCAGCCCACAGGGTGGAGTATCCTGAGTGTCAGGGACATGCTCTGCAGCCCTGACCACAACCCTGTCTCCTGCCTCCAGCCCCTCTGACCCTGCCCACAGGACCAAGCTCCTGACTCAGTTTCCCTGCCAGACAGAAGCCTCCCTACCAGTCTTCCCACCATTCCCAGGTAATGGAACCCTCCCCTGTGGCCACTCAGGAGATGCTAGGATGGGCTGAGGGCCAGCCATGGGCCCCAGCCTCCCGGCTCTGATCCCACCCCACTGGCTGGTCACTTCCAGGCAGCCCATGAGCCAGCATGCCCCCCAACCTCCTTCCAGACCTGACCCCCACCCTGCGTCCCCCTACCTCCTCCACCTCCTGCAGTGTGTAGTGGCCTCCAGGGTCCTTGGTCATTGGGTGCACTCGGGCTCCTGGGTGCAGGACAGAGTGGGCTGTGAGTGTCCCGCACACACTGCAGAAGCCAGCGTTGGGCACCCGTGGCCCTGCTGAGCAGGGGGGCCCTGTGAGGGCTGGACCCCACCCTGGCTGCCTGAAGAGGAGGGTGTACTCTGCCCAGTGACAGCCTCTCTGTGTGTAGAGCCAGGGCCATCTTGACCCCCCGACTGTTGGAGCCAAGGCTCCTGGGGTGCCCTTGACAGAGCTCAGCTCAAACACCCTTTCTCAGGCCACACTGCCCAGTGTCTCCCCAAGCAGAGTGAGCTCCTGGGGGTCAGGGCCGCACCTGGCCCAGGGCTGGCACAAGGAGTGCACCTGGCCCAGGGCTGGCACACCACTGGTGTGGTGGATGACAGAGTGAAGGATGAGGGGTGAGTGAGGCAGCAGTCTGGCCCTCTGTTGGAGCTGGGACTCCAGGAATCAGGCCCTTGTCCCCTCCTTCTCTCTGCCCCTATCCTGCGTGCTGCTCATGGCCAGGGTTGTGGGAGGGGAAGAACTTGCAGCCGAAGGTACAGAATGGGGACAGGGGAGGCCATATACCGCAGGCATCTGAGCCTGAGTGCCCTGATGACCACTTGGGGTCCTGGCCTCTGCTGACCCTGGGTCCCCTTGAAAAGTTTGTGGACTTTGGAATGGGACCGTCTTGGCTGTGGCGGTTGGTTGAGTATTAACCAGCGTGGCCACTGTGGAGCTGGCCAAGCTGATGTCCCTCAATGCCACAATCAAGCACTAAACCCAGGGCACACTCCTGCTCCTGTCTCTCTCCCAGAAAAGTGTACTCCGGAGGCACATGCTCTGTCCATACCTCCGTATTTTGTGGATCACATCAAGGTTCCAGAAGAGGGGCTGCTGAGATTTGAGGGGAGGCTTCAGCTTCTGAAACCCCACCCTGTCACAGAGCAGAGCTGGTGCCTGGGGCCCTGGACGGTGGCTGGGGTTCTCAGGAGTGTGTGCTGGGACCAGAGGCTTCCCTGCAGTGCCATCCCCCACGCGCTCCAGAAACAGCTCGAGGAGACTGGAGGGATCGGGGCACCTGTGCTGCTCCCAGCCCTATCAGAGTCAGGCCCCACGAGTGCCCTGACACCACCTGGAGGAGGCAGCGGGCTGAGAGGAGGAACGTGCGTGCAGGGCCACAGCGTGGGTAAGCGCTCACCCGGGGACAGGGCCGCCAGCTTCAAACAGAGGGAGACCAGGGAGGCCTTGAAGGATGGAGCCAGGGCCATCCCCACCTGGCTGTCTCCCTTACCCATGCGTTCCCCGATGTCCATGGCTCGCTGCCCCCAAACGCCATTGACCCCGACCAGGAAGGAGTCCCCAGGCTCCAGCACATTGACCAGGGCGGCCTCCAGGGCACAGTGTCCGGAGCCAGTGATGACCAGTGTGAGCGGGTTCCTGGTCTGGAACACGTACTGGATGCCTTCCTTGATCTCGTCCATGATCTGCGTGCGTGTGGGAACAGGGTGAGACCCAGGCTCCTTGCCCCCCCGTCCGTGATCTGCGTGTGGGAACAGGGTGAGACCCAGGCTCCTTGCCCCCCCGTCCGTGATCTGCGTGTGGCTGGGTAGAGGGTGAGACCCAGGCTCCTTGCCCCCCCGTCCGTGATCTGCGGGTGGGAACAGTGTGAGACCCAGGTTTCCGGTCCCCCCTCGTCTGTGATCTGTGGGTGCATACAGGGTCAGACCCAGGCCCCCGCGAGTGAGGAGACAATGACCCCTCCCCTCGTCTGTGATCTGCGGGTGGGAACGCAGGTGAGACCCAGGCCCCCGAGTGGCCCCCCGCTCCTACCTGGTACATCTCCTTGTCCATTGGCCCGATGATCTGCATTCCTCCGGCCGACATGATGCGAGGAGGCAGGTTGGAGGGACCGGGCCCCAGCAGGAGCCGCTTGGGGATGGAGAGGGGCTTGAGCAGGGCCTTGGGCGGGGGCACCAGCAGCTTGTGAGAGGCCATGGTCTGCACCCAACCTGCCGCTTGGGGACCTGGGGCTGCACTGGACTTGGCCAGAGCCTGGAACATTTCCCGGTAGGCTGGACACAGAGGTGAGAGGTGAGGATTGGTGGACAGGCTTCCGCGGCAGCCCTGCCTTTTGCTTTGTTCCCTAAGCCTTATCTGTGCTTGTCCTGCGGGTCAGGGCCAGGCAGCAGGGGACTGAGCCCTCAGGCAGAGGGAGCCTCCGGGCTGAGTGACAGAAAAGCAACATGTGACAAAGGTGTCCTCACCCCAGCCCTCCTCGCTCCCCCTCTGAGTCCTGCACATCCAGCCTGATCCTGCTTAGCTCAGGGGTCAGAGAAGTGTTTCTTAGAGGGTGGGAGCACAGATCATCGAGGCTTGGCAGGCCCTGTGGCCTATGTTGCAACAACTCAACTCTGCCTTGTGCTTGCAAAGCAGCTGCCAGCGGTGTGGGCGTGTTCCCATAAAACTTTATTTACAAAAAGCAAGTGGCAGGCCAGACTGGGCCCATGGACTGCAGTTTGCTGACCCTGGCGCAGCTGATGGGAAGGCTTGTAAACCAAAAAAAAAATTCAAAGACCTCCCGGCAACCATCTGAATGGGCTTCCCTGTCTGCCACGGCGCTCTAAACTTTAACCTGGAAGACGTTCGGGCCATGCCACAGCATCCCCCGCCAGCATTAACACCGATGCAGGCCTTAAGTCTGATAGGAAGCGTTTACCATCTATTTTCTCTCTAAAGTCCGCTACCTGGAGGCGCCGCCTGCTCTCCACAGCCTCTATTTCATAACCCAGACACTCCTTTCTGCTGATACGAACTCTTCAATCAGTTGACAGTCAGAACATGTTTAAATCTCCCTATGACCTAGAAGCCCCCAATTCGAGCTGTCCCAGCCTTCCAGATGGAACCAACGTTCGATAGATGCTCATGTCTTCCTAAAATGTATAAAAGCAAGCTGTGCCTCCATCACCTTGGGCACTTGTGGTCAGGGGTACACCCTGATGTCCTCCCTCCTGAGGCTGTGCCTCGGGTGCGTCCTTCGCCTTGGCAACAAAAACTTTCTAAACTAATTGAGACCCGTTTCAGGTACTTTTTGGTTTACAGGCTCAACTTAGCAAACAAACCTGCACGGTACACAGACACACACAAGGCAGGGGTTGCACAGTGAGTTTCGGCATGCCGCATTCCAGAGATGTATAGAAATTCTAGTTATGTATACGTTTTAGGTTGAAAGGAGGCCTGGAACCAGGTGCCGACTTTAGATAATAGAGAAGTCTAATTACTTCTACCTTTCCCAAATACGGAGGTTCCCCCCACAGCCCCTGGGGCCTGCCTGATGGCCACCAGGTGATCTTTGCTCTCCTCAATTTCCCTCTGACAACTATCTTGGTGAAATCTCTGACCCTTCCTTTTCCGCCATGCTCATGTCCACCTGCTTCCTGTTGGGGTCTTGAGAAAGGGGAACTGGCACAGTGAAGAGGGGTGTCCAGTGCGCCTGGCTACTTCCTGCTGAAAGGGAGTTCGGGGGACAGGTCGCGGTTTTCCCTTTCTTGCTCTCGGTCGTGAAGGGAATAAAGGGTCATGAAAGCTTGTGCACGGAGGCGCGTGACAGGATTCCATCAAGAAGCCCCATGTAAATCGAGCTGCCGTTGCAGGCCGGTATTGGGACTGCATAGCCGTCTGCAGGTGGAATTGTTGTCATCTGGAACATAGAGACTTAACGAGAGCATTAAAAAAGGCAGGGACCAAATATTAAAAGAAAAATCGCCGAAGATAAAGGTCTGAGGAACGGGAGAAGCCAAGGGGTTTTTTGAAAACCAGTCAGGAAAAGTTTGGGCCCAGTCTTGGTTACTTTGGGAAAGTGTGTGTAGCCATTTGGCTTGTTTGAAGATTTCTTGGGCATCGGTTTCCACTTCTCCAGACACATTAATGTAGGTGCAACAGGTCCTGTTGATGACGGCACGGACCCCTCCTTGTTCAGCCAGGAGATGATCCAGAACTCACCTGTTTCCGAGCCCCGAGCTCCTGCTGGCAAGTCTAACGACTTGTAGAGCTGACAGGCGGGTGCCAGCGTTTGCTACTTCAAGGGAGGCGGTAGGTTCTCGTAGTTGTGATTTCCCGGTAAGTAAAACCTCCCCAAGGGGTAAGAGTTGTGATAGTTCCCACAACTCCCGTCACAATAAGTCCCAGGGCCCTTTTCCTTCTGAATAGAATTCTGAATTGGAAGTGATGCTCAAGGCAGTGATTTGGGTGGGAGCTGTTGTTCCCAGACTACAATCACCACAGTGAAGAGAATGATCAAGGTGGGATAGGGCCGAAGTTGGAAAAGGGTTTCACCATGTTGCCCAGGCTGGTCTCGAACTCTTGACCTCAAGTGATCCGTCTGCCTCGGCCTCCCAAAGTGCTGGGATTATAGGTGTGACCCACTGCGTCGCCTAAGATAAGATCTTTATAAGTGCTAGAGAGGCTCTTTGTGCTGGGAGTTAAGATAAGACCCCAAAATTGAACACCCTGTGTGGATATTTGTACCTGAGAAGGAGATACTTTGTACCTATAATCAGCAAGTTTGTTTAGTACTAATACTGTGTTTTGGTCTGGAGCAGCTTTGCTAGGACCACAGATTATAGGTCATCTACATACTGGAGTAGATTGCCATCTGGGTGAAGTTGCAGTGTGGACAGGTCTTTAACTAGGGCCTGTCTAAAAAGGCGGGAGCTATCTCTGAATCCCTGGGGCAGAACTGTCCAAGTCAACTCTTGAGTTATTTGAGTATCTGGGTCTTGCCGTTCAAAAGCAAACAAATATTTGCTATCTAAGCGTACAGGAATGCAGAAAAACACATTCTTAAGATCAAGAACTGTAAAACAAGCTGTGGTGGAGGGAATCTGTCCAACAAGGGTGCAAGGGTTTGGGACAACAGGATGAATAGGTATAACAGCTTCGGTAATGACTCTAAGGTAAGAGCCATCTGGTTTCTTTACAGCTAAAACAAGAGTGTTGCAAGGCGAGCTGCATGGGTACACTCATCTACCGGTCAGACGTTTTTGTTATTAGAGGTTTTAGCCCTTTTCATGCTTCTGGTTTCAAGGGGTATTGGGGGGTTCTGGGGAACTCACTGGGATTTTTAAGCTGAATGACAACAGGAGCAGCTGATATTGAACAGCCAGGAATAGAAGCTTTCCAAACCTCAAATGGCACTTGTTTTAGAATGTGAGGTTCTATAGATTGTAGCAGCTCTGTTGGTGATGTGTGAGTGAAAACAGCTAGAAGGTGAAGCCTTAGCTACAAATTAGCTTGTAATTTTGTGAGTAAGTCATGCCCTAATAATGGAACAGGGCAGTTCGGCAGGACTGAAAAGGAGTGGGTAAAGGAATAGCCTTCCATTTGACAAGGGAGTGGTGGTGTGAAACAGCCTCATTGGGATTTTCCATCCACACCTGTGAGGAAAATGAAGGACTAGCACGTTGGGCCACAGTAAATGTTTGAAGCTGAATAACTGGCCCCTGTATCTCCGAGAAACGCTGCCTCTTGTTCAGCCTCAATCAGATTTCCCCAGGGCTCCTCCATAGAGAGAGGTTAGGGCCACACAGTCCCATCAGTCATCTGGAGAATGACTTTCAGAGGCTTGGAGAGAGTGAGGGTGCCCGTTCTTGCCCTCATCCTAGTCCTTGTTCTGCAGGACTCCCTTGTTGGGTAGGTTGGCAAGGCTGTGGCTGTGATGGCCCAGAAGGAAGAAGTGTCCCACGCCCTGTCATGGGGGAGAGAGGGAAATGCACTCTTCCAACGACCCTCTTGTTTGCAGTGAGGACAGGGTCCTGGGGGCAGCTTGTAACCCAGAGGTTTGGGATACTCTGTACTCTAGTGTCCTGGATTCCTGAAATAATGACAGGCCCCTGTTCTGCTAGTGTTATAGGGACAAGCCTTGGGGTCAGTAGCAAATGAAAAGAATGTGCCAATGCTGTTGCCGTGTCAGCAGCTTGACCCTGCCATTTTTCCTCCTCCAACTGAGCCTTGGCCCTCAGGGGTTCTGGGGTCTAAATTGGTGTATTTATGCATGGCCTACACCAGCCTAGTTTGGAAAAGGGCAGGGGTTCTCAGGTGGCTCCTGAGTGATTTCTCGTAATTTAGAAAAATTAACAGGGTTTATTAGATCTTTTTTCATTTCTTCCAACAAGTAAGTTATAATCTCATCTGCCCCTGCCTCTGTCTGGACCACCTCAGCAGCCTGGTATTGCCAGTGGGCTCTGTGTTGGGGACAGATTTTTCCCAGCTCTCTTATCATTAGGGTTATGAGCATGAGCTTTATCTGCCCCAGCTTGAGCTAAAGACCACATGTGTGATTTTTCTTCATGGGAACAGCAAGTAGTTAACACCACGAATATGTCTTACCAGATTAAATCAAAGACAATAACTAAAGCTCGAAATTCTTGAATGAACTTAGTGGGATCCTAGCTAAGTGAACCCAGTGTGGATTTGAGAAAGATCAGACGTTGGAAAAGGGACATGAACTCGAATTGTTCCCAAATCTCCGTTTGCCACCTCGTGGAGAGGTAAAACCCTTGTGGGATCTTCTGAGGACTCTTTGCTAGTGGCATATGTGAAAGGATGTGTGAGTACGTGAGGGGGATAGAGTATCTGGGTATGGGGGCGGGAGGGTTGACTGGGGGATGGAGCAGATGGAGAGGGTGCAGGTGAAGCGGGAGCAGGCTGCAGAGAGTGTGATGGGCAAAAGGAAGGGCCATCTAAGACATCAGAATCGGGGAGGGAGGAAGTTCCTTAGAAGCATATGTGACAATTTTTGTGTAATTTTGGGTTTTGGGATAAAGCCAAAAAGACTTGACCACATGGGACCTCTGCATCCTTTCTGAGATTCCAGCAAAATGAGTCTAGTTGTAAAATAATATTCCAATCCAGGGCCCCATTAAGAGGCCAATATAAATTATTGGGGAGCATATATTGAACCCTAGATATATTACAAAAAAAAACCATATGCTTCTTTTTCAGAGTTTGTGGGTCAAAATGAGACCAGTTTTGAAGAATGCAATCCGAGGACGAGTAGACGGAATTGAAGAAAGAATTGGATCCATGCTGGGTTCAGATCAGCTACTGTAAGATCCCCGAGGTGTCCCTGAGGGACTTGGACCTCGCCTCTTTGGCTCACTCTATTCGGGGGCGTCCACCACAGATGGAGGGCCTGCCCTTGCCTGGATGATCACTCCAGGTGTGCCCGTGTTTGAGTGGTCAGCTCAGACCTAAGGGGAAGGAGAACTCACCCGTAACTTGGGATGCGATTTCCGCTTGAAGTGGAATCCAAAAGTGGGTCTGCAACCAGTGGGGTGTGTCTGCGCAGAGTCGGGGTCACTGCCGCTCGTTTCCAAGGCATGGTTTACAGGGCGTTAAGTGACAGTGGACTTGCCACCTCAAAGGGCAATAGTAAATTCGCTCTTTTGTCTTGGCCTTGGGGTAACACCAGGTAGCGCCCATGGCCAGAAACCCTCAATTTCCAAAGAGTACTCAAGCTGGTTCCCTGGCGGTTTGAAAATAGAAAAGAATCCTGGCTAATTCCTCATCCCTAAGGGCAATGATGGAAAAATATCTCTTCTCTAGGGCTTCAGGATCCCCCTGAGGAGTGGTCTTGGCCAGGGCCCTCAGTTCCCGAGTAAAGAACCAGACCATCAAGGGAAGCAGGGAGGGAAAAGAAGGGAGAGATCCCAGTAAAGTCCCGTATGCACAACCAAGGAGCCGGGCGAGGTGTTGGAGCCCCAGCATCGGGAAGTGGCCGACTCGCGGGCTGGTAAGAAGAATTTACCAATGACAGTATGGGTTTGGAAGAGGAAAGGTTTATTAGGAAGAAAGAATGCTGCAGAGGAGGGCAGTGGGTGCCTCTGCTGGGGGACTCAGCAGCACCGGGGATTTTCCTTAGGAGCATTTCTGGACCTCACGGTGGGAGCTGAAGGGTGATTTGCACGATAAGTGCTACATTTGTAGACATTCTGGTGCCTTAGTGACGGCAGGGGGTGCACACTGAGTTTCATCAGCCATGCATTCCAGAGATGTATAGAAATTCTAGTTACTTATAAATGTTAGGTTGAAAGGAGGCCTGGAACCAGGTGCCAACTTTAGACGATGGGGAAGTTTAATTACTTCTAAATTCCTCAAATGCGGAGCTTTGCCCCTGGATGGCCTGCCTGATGGTCACCAGGTGGTCTTTGCTGTCCTCAGCCAGCTCACAGGTTGTGAGTTGGCCTCTCTGCCATCAGTGCTCGCTCCTGTCTTTGCTCAGCTCCCCCTCATTCCCCAGGGAGTCATCCCAATTGTCCGATGTCCTCAGCTGCCATCAGGCCACTTGCCCCACCTGTCCCATCATCTGTTGACTGCCTGTCCTCCCTGGGGCAGGACCCCCTGTATGCAGCTCTGTGTGCCCGGCATGGCATGTGCGAGGGCATAGAAGGTCTGGTCACAGAGTTGGTTGACTGGTCCTGGAGGGTGGGTAGGCAGCCCTCGGAAAGCCAGGGAGGTGTGTGTGCTTTGTTCCAGGACGCAAGGTGTTCCCTCGTCCTCCGTCAAGGTAACCAGGAGAAGCTGTTACAACCACCAAGGGAGGGTGTTTCCTCAGGCCGAGAGCTTATTGGGAGCTTCGGAGCTACTGACGACAGCAAGCTGCAGGGCAGGTAACCGACCTCCGTCTCCCAGGAGTCCAGGGGATAAAGGCCACCTGGACAGGTGGCCAGGCCGTTCCAGCCAAGGCCGGCAGCAGCAGCGCCCTGGGCGTGGCCTCTCGCAGCTGTGAAATGGGAGCTGAGGGCACCAGCTGCTCAGCTCACCTGCCTTTCTGGGCCCTAGGGTGGGCCTGGGCTGGCAGGATGGGGTGTGAAGTCCAGGTCAGGAGCCGGGACTGGCCTGCCTTGCCCTCCTGGGCTGGACTGACCTGGGGTTGTCTTAGTTCCCCAGATGAAGTCACCAGCGGAACCAGCCGGCCTGCTACCTGACACACAAGGCCAAGAACTGAGTCTCTTTTAAAAATTTAACTTGTTTTGTTATGATTGATATAAAATAATGCAAACAATTTCTTTGGGTCTGATGCCCGTCTCACTGAGGCAGGCAAGCCTGTCACCCTTAGGTGCTCTAGGAAGATGATGTGCGGCCTGCCAGTCTCGCGGTGCTCTCGCCGCTCCTGCCAGGCGTCCCCGCCGTGCACCATTTTAATTGAACCCCGGCTACACCAGCCTGTCGGGACATCCAGGCTGCAGGTGGCCATCAGGGGCATTTGCCCTTTCACAGGCGGCAGCTGGGTTCCAAGAAAAGGGAGGATTGGTGTAAAACCCACTGCCTCAACTGGAGGGCGGGACCCCTGGGCCACGGGGCCTGTGCATGTAATGCAGCGGTGCCTCGGGGGTGTCCAGCACAAGTTGCCCCCTCCAGGTCACGGCCTGAATGGCAGGAGTTGGTTCTGGCACGTGAGGGTCCTGCCGAATGGATGCCACCCAGTGGCTCCTGATGATACGCCATGTCCTGGGGTACCTGTTTGGGTACTGTACCCGGGTCTGGTGTGCCATGAGGGCTGCCACACATGCCTATGCTGTGACCCCATCCCTGGAACAACCCCTCCCATGCTGAGCCTGCTGCTGCGCCCCTGCTCGGCACAGGTGCCTATGCCCAGGACTGGGCGTAAAACCAAGCCCTGTGTGGACAGCCTGCCCATGCTAGGCCGGGAGTCCAGCCGTGTGGAGGCAGGGCTGTCCCTGGACCTCTTGTCTGTGAAGTGGAGTACAGTTCTCACCTGGGGTGACAGGGCAGATGTCCGGGGCCACGGGTGATCACAGTAATGAGGGTTGTGGTGGACAAATCCGGCTTTGTCTCTCCCACCTGGGCCAAGGCCGCCCGATGCGCTGCCCCCTCCCCATGCGACCCTGGCCAGACTGATGGTCCTCCCAGACAGGGGTGGGGGGCATGTGGCGCACCTCCCTGGGAGTCAGCACAGCCCCCTAAACGCTGAAGGACTCAGGAGCCAGGACATCGGGGATTTCCAGGCGGCCTCCAGGGCTCCTTTCCCAGCCTCTGACTGTGGCGAGTTCTTGGCATTGGTGGGTGGGGTGGGGGCAGGAGGTGGGTGTAGAATCCGGCACTGCCTTCCTGGCGTTCACTCTGGGTTCCTAGAGGAGGGGAAGCCTTGGCCCCTCAAGACCTTCCCAAGCTCATGCCACAGAGATGTGAGCAGAGACCCTGCGTGGGATTGGACAGGACGGGCCCGGCCCCCTTCCTGGAGGTGGCTGCAGGGGGCAGGACAGGTAGGGCCACCTCAGCCGTGTGGCCCTGGCAGCTGTTTGTCCCACTGGGACCCCACGTCCTCATCTGCACGGCAGGGACACGCACTCGGGCAGCGAGGGCCATGGTGACTTGTGGGGAGAGGGCAGCTGCCCACTGCCGCAGTCTCTGGACTGCCCGCCACCTGGCCCCCAACAACCTGGAGGGCCCTAGCACCCCAATGCCAGAACAGCCCATCACCCTCTTCTCCCAAGTGACCATAGAGTCCGAACCAGAAAGTGGAACAGCTGATGAAGAGGCTGCCCGGGCAGGTGTGGCCTCAGAGTGTGAGGGGCTGGCTCCATCTGCCGCCCCTGCCCTGCCTTCATGAGGCCAGTGTTCTGGATACGGGGGAGCTCCGCTGGGGAAACAGCACCCTCCACACATCTCAGCGGCGAGCAGTGGGTGTGGGGTGCATTGCAGCTCCCGGAATATCCTGTCCTAGTCCTAACCCCTGTGAAAGTGACCTTGTACCAGGGCCTTTGCTGATGTGATCAGGTAAAGGGCGCGCTGGATGAGGGTGGGCCCTACAGCATGTGCCTGTAAAAACTTTTAAAACACTCTGCTCTTCATAGAAAAATGTAGAAACAGCCCCACGTGGCAGGGAAGGCACCAGCCCTGGGAACTCCTGCCGGTTCCGGCCTCCCGAGCCTGACCCTCAGTGAGGGCTGTAGCCCCAGCTGGGACATGGTTGTTCCACAGAGGTCGGCACGGATGCCGTTGAGGAGAAGGGTGTCTGAGCAAGCTGGGTTCTCCTTCGTGCATGGCCCACACTCACTCACGAGCCTCTCCACCTGGAATTCTGCCCTGTGGAGGGGGGATGTCCACGCCCACCCTGGCCTGCATCTCAGGGATTTTATGAGCATCAGCGGGCATAACATGCCATAGTGAAACCTGCCCGATTGTGCCATAGAACGGATGTTGATGATTTCTTTTAAATAAACATAGAAATTGGCCCTCCCAGTCTTAAAACTTGAGAAAGCTACATTTGTCTTATCTGAGTTCCTTTCTCAGGAAACTGGCCCTCAGCCCTCCCAGGGTGTCTGAAGGAATGGAGACTCACCAGATCATGGCATCTAGACAAAGAGATGCCAGACCCTTCCCCCCTCATGGTCGCCTGTCCGGCCACCTGCTTCCTCCTGACCAACTCCTCTTCCTCACTCTCCCTCGTTCCTGTTTTCCTGCAGGTAGTTACATTTCTGCTCTGCAAACCTCTAATTTTAGTTGATCAGGGTGATGGATTTGAGATGCATCTCCCACCTCCTTGGCTGCTGCTCCCCATTAAAGCCTCCTTATTGGCTTTCTGTGTGGCGAGCAGCAGCACCGAGACCAGACTCCTGGTGTTTCGGTAACAAGAGGACACTCGGGAAACTACAGTCGCGAATCAGCTCAGCCTCGATGCCGATGAGAAGCTGATGGCCTTGCCCTTCTCAAGCGTTTTCCCAGGAAAATCAATTTGATGCCTACTTGAGATGCACTTTTTAAATTGATTTTTTTTTTTACAATGAAAGTATTGTATGCTCATTGTAAATACTTTTAAAACATCAAAATACGTTGCTTAAAAAATTAAATGCCTTAAAAATGCCTTAATACCTTCTATTTAGATGAGCCCACTTTTTTTTTTTTTTTTTTTGAGATGGAGTCTTGCTCTGTTGCCCCGGCTGGAGTGCAGTGGTACGATCTCAGCTCACTGCAACCTCTGCCTCGCAGGTTCCAGCGATTCTCCTGCCTCAGCCTCCCAGGTAGCTGGGACTACAGGTGTGCACCACAATGCCCGGCTAATTTTGTACTTTTAGTAGAAATGGGGTTTCACCATGTTGGCCAGGCTGGTCTCGAACTTCTGACCTCGTGATCCACCTGCCTTGGCCTCCCAATGTGCTGGGGTTACAGGCGCAAGCCACCACTCCCAGCCAAAGCCTACTTTTACAATGGTGGGGGTGCGTGTCAGTTTCTCATATTTATTTTGCTGCATTTTGGTCCATATATCTGAAATCATTCAACACGCACTGGTATTCGAATGGAGTAAACACCAGAAGATTCTTGGGCCCCAGTGGAAGGTAACAGAAAGGACAGATTGGTGCTGTGCACTGTGTGGCCCCGGTGGATTTATCAGTGTCTACTATCCCACAAAATTTTTGAAAGAAACAACTGAAGTCATCCGATAGCACTTAAAGAGGCAGCGTCGCTACCCGTGTGCATCAGGGGGATTTGGCCACAGCTTAAATCGAACGTTCTACCAAGGGTGAATCTCCTTTCTTTGGATCTGCTGGATGCCAGGAGAGTGGTTTATCACCCTCGTGTAGGGAAGGGTGACAAGCAGGCTGGGGTGCTCCCTCGGCACTGGATTTCGGGGGTCCTCACCACCCTGGCGGATCAGAGGGGCCACTGTGCCTAAGCTGTCTGTGCAGACAAGCGGTTCCGCTGGGCACCTGCTTTCCTCCCGGGGATCCGGGATCTGCAGGCATGCCAGGCAGAGGGTGCGGCATGACCAGCCCCAGAACAGCCCTGGTGCTGAGGCTGTGAGGCACTGAAGGGCTTCCATGGTTGGAACATGTCACACGTGTCACCATAACGTGGTGCTGGGGAATGACGCACATCCTGTGGGCTGCACCTGGAGAGGACGCTGGAAGCTTGCACCGGTTTCCTCCATGCTCTGCCCCGCGCCCTGCCCTGTGCTGACTGTGTGTGTGTGTCCTTTCCTGGTAAAAAATCAAAGGTCAGCAAGTCCTCCTGGAGAACTGTCAGCCTGGAGCCATGGCAAACCTGCACAGCCACCTGTTTCCACCTCGGGCAGTGGTGTGGTTTCCCTCCACACGGTTGATTCTCGTTAGAGCCACAGTCACCGTCCTCTGTGCTGACAACCTTGTTCTCCCGTCCCGGGAGAGTTCTGAGGTTTGATTCATTAATTCATGTTTTTGTTTGTTCACCATCATTTATTGATAATGTTCCCTGGATCAATCATAAGAGAATAAACGATCATGAATAAAACAGTGAGAAAACGCACAGGCTCACTGCTCCAAAGTGCCGGCCCAGAAGCGGGACCTGGGCAACCACGTGGTACGACCTCAGAGGAGAGGTGGCCACGGCAGGGAGTGAGCAGGAGGGAAAGGAAGACTTTCTGGTGGAAGCCACGTCTGAGCCAAGATCTGCCTGGGGAGAAGGGTTAATCTGGGCATGAAGGTGGGGCCCAGAGCGGCCAGGTCTGCCAGACAGCACCTGCAAGACCCCTGGGGGCAGGGGCAGGTGCAGCCAGGATCAGAGGAAGGACATTGTGGCCAGGGGCAGGCTGTAGGGTGGCCAGAGGGTGTGTGGGGGCCACAGGAAGGATTTGGGTTTATGCTGAGAGCCCCACGGAATCGTGGGAGGATGGACTCTACCTACAGCAATGGCAGATCACAGCACAGAGAGCCTGGAGGGTCTACTCGGGAAGGCAGGCGCCAGCTGGGGCTGGGAGGTGTTTTGTACTGAATTGTGACATCCAAAATGTGTGTGTTGAAGTCCTTCCCTCCAGTCCCTCAGGATGTGACCGTATTTGGAGATAAGGTCTTTAAAGAGGTAATTAAGGTTAAATGAGGCTGTTAGGATGGACCCTAATCCAACCCGACTGTGTCCTAATAAGTAGAGGAGATTAGGACACAAACACAAGGGGGATAGCCACGGGGAGACACAGGGAGAATCTACAAGCCCATCTGCTTAACCCCTTCACAACTCTGCCTCTCGTTCCCCAGCGTCTGTGCTCTAAACAGTCCGATCCTCCGCTGCTCCAGAAGCGGGTGGCCCTGCCACTCCCGGGCGGGCGAGGTGAGGATTACAGGGCACAGCAGGCAGAACGTGCGGGGCCTGCGGGTGTGCGAAGCACTCAGCACACAAAGCCGTGTTCAGCATGAGAGTTAAGAGCTCTGGGCAGTGCCCGGAGCACGGGCATCTTTTTGACCTGAGCATCCTCCCTGTGGGGTCCTGGCCAACGTCTGAGCCCCTGGGAGATGCCACGAGGCTCTGCCCAGATTAGCGGCCCTGACGTAGCAGCTCAGGCTTGACACACACATCAGCAGGAAGCCCAGGGGACGGAGCTCTCAGTGGAGCAAGGACCAACGCAGGGGGGACGGGTCTGGGTCAGAGGTCACCACCCTGCCCGGGGAGCTGCCAGCCAGGGACTGCAGAGAGAAAGCATAGGGACAATGTGCCGGTCTCCGAGGAAACAGTGACACCCAGTGGCCGACTGCGGCCCCACCGCAGGGCACGCAGGGTTCTTGCTCTTCCTGATGGCGCGAGTGGCAGCTGGGATGTCCACGTGGGGCAGGAGGAACTGCAGAAAGGCCCAAAGAGGACCTGCGTCTCCCACCCCGTCCCTGCCCGGAGCAAGCTCTGCCTGAGGTATGTGGGCACAGACTCTGCAGCCCGCCTGGGCCTGCAGCCTCAGGGAAGCCGCTGGACACTGACCCTGCCTTGGGACTCCCGACGGGCGAGCTCAGCCTAGGTGACGCGGCAGTGGCCTCTCGCAGCGCAGTCCATGGGGCTGAGGATGGTGAGAGACAGTGACAGGTGACCTGGCTCTCGGGGAGGGACCCAGCGGGCCAGGGCCGGTGGGGGCTTCTCGATTTGCAGGAAACTCAGGGGACAGCGAGGGGAAGGATGCCCAGTCACGGAGGGACCCCGGTCCCTGGCCTCCGAGGCCTCTGGGGTGG